ATATGCAAACCAACTCCAGCAAAAAAAAGATAATAAAGTACGCTATTTGTCTACTATTTTTATTTAGTAATTATCAATGGAGGAAACAGAAAAAAGAGAAAGAAGAGAGAAAATGCCTTCAAATTGGTATGTATTAGATATGAAGATGAATAGTGCGGCAAATTTAAATGAGAATAAGAGAGAAATATTACTTGTTCCTTGTTTTCTGAAAGAAGATTTCTTCTCAAACAGTTCCCAACTCTCATTCTCATTGAGTAACTGTGGTTGATGAAGTAGGCAATTCTTATCTGCAGATAAACCCACGTCTCTGTGACGAGTAGTTAGTATGATTCTGCTATCTGTCTCTTCTTGTACTGGAAATGCTGCCTCTAGAAGTTTCCACGCATCAACGGTCCAAATATCATCGAGGAGAATCAAACACTTGTTATCTTTCTGAACTTTGCAGAGCTCCTTGGCTACTTCATCATCTCCCATTAATTTGATTTCTTCTCTTTTTTCCTTGGTTGGGCTCGGAGTAAGTTTGATTAAAATTTCTTCCCACACAACGCGTTTTTCACATTGTTGGGATATAGATGCCCAAGCAAAGCGATCAAAATGACCGTTGACTTGAGGATGATGATAAACCTTTCTAGCAAGGGTGGTTTTTCCGAGACCGCCCATCCCACAAATAGAAATCACACGATGGGGATTAGCTTGTTTCGTCAACGCTGCTGCCAACTTCTCCATATCTTCGTCAAGTCCGATGATATCTTTTTCAGCAACATGAGAATAAGCTCGCCTCAACTGTCTTTGGAGCTGGTAATTCGAAGAACTACTTTCTCCTTTGCTCTCCGGTAATTTCGTGATGCCCATTGCTTGAAAATCTGAGTTCATGGCTGAAAATCTGGTAAAAATTAGGTCGATCTCTGATCCAACTTTATGGAGCTCAATTCCTTCATTCCAAATGCAAGCGAACCTTTTCAATATATTCTTCACGCCTCGTTTCCTTCGAGACTCAACTTCTAGGACAAAAGTTTCGACAACGTCTTCTAAAGCAAGAGCAAATTCACTTATTTCTGCAACCCAAAGGCATACTCTATTGTCCGCATCCATTCCGCGTCTCACAAATGCATCGGCATCTTTTAAGAAGCTGCGCATCCTTCGTAGCTTGGACTGTGCCTCCTCAACTTGGCCTTCGACTCCATACAAGAATTTCGCTTCAGAAATGAGCAAGTCTCCAAGTCTTTCAATCGCAAAGGAAAGGGCGGCGTCAGCCATCTCTTGATGTCCAGGAAAATCGACCAAACTCTTTTTTCAAGTAGTTTTCTTGAGACCTTAATTTGGTTGTGGATCTCTGTTTGGAGGATGCTAATATTGATATAATTTGTATGCCAATATTCTCTTGTGCAAATGGCTTTAAGTTATTTTGCAAGTGACTTCACATGGCCAGCCAGCTCAAAGTCAACTGCGCTGGGTGATGACTTTGTAGATCGCATAGTCTTATTGGTCTGGCTAAAGCTCTCAACAAAATAATAATATTATCATCACATTGGTTTTAGTAATTAAAGTTTGACAGGTTGTCTATTTCATTACTTGCTACTAAATTTTAAAAGGGAAAGACGTTGCAATAATAGAGGATAAATATATTCTACGTTGAATCATTTTTTGTCTTATTGAGCATTTGAATAAATTAATATCAATATTCTCTCGTGCAAATGGCTTTAAATTATTTTGCAAGTGACCTCATATGGCCAGCCAGCTCGAAGTCAACAGCGGTGGGTATATCAATATTCGTGAATCTCAGTTTAAATTAATTTGCATGTGACCTCATATGGCCAGCCAGCTCAAAGTCAACAGCTCAAAGTCAACACCTAATGATGGTCCCTAAAGAACTTAATACCGTGATGTGAATTTGCAAGGACTTAATCTTTTGCTAGAATTGAAAGCCTTATCTATTTTAATCTTTTTCTAGAAAAGAAAGCCTGATCTATTTTAGTTATTTTATCAATTTTTTTTTCTTTTTCACTGAAGAATGACAAAACTATTTTATTATTGTAAGAGATCCAATACCATCTTATTGCTGGAAAACAAAGCAAATAACAATACTAGAAGCCTAATGTTGTTGAAAAAGAGATTAGATAGAACATTAAAATTGTTATATATACGAAATAGTTAAGAACCTCAACTTCTTAACTAACAACAACATAACAAACAACTGACAAAACCAAAGTGCATTAAATAAAAACAACAAACGAAAATGGAGTCTTTATCTTTTTCTTTTTTGCCTGTAATGAAATAACACTTCGTATACAATTGATAATATAGAGCATTATAATATTTTATGTAATCTTAGTTCCAAACATGATATAGGCAAATAAGAATTTTTACATCAAACACCGGTATGAAAACAGACGAATGCGAATATTTCATAGTTATCTCCATACAAGAATTTCGCTTCAGAAATGAGCAAGTCTCCAAGTCTTTCAATTTCAAAGGAAAAGGCGGCTTCAGCCATCTCTTGATCTCCAGGAAAATCGATTAAACTCTTTTTTCAAGTAGTTTTCTTGAGACCTTAATTTGGTTGTGGATTTCTGTGAAGACTCTAACTTTTGATCATCATCGTATGCTCATACTTAACATTTCTTAATCTCTACTATCTACTAGTTATAACTTCTTAAAATTTCAGACCACTTTTTTTACCATGTACGTTAAAATACTATAGCATTTAGCTAGCATTCTGTTTTCAGCCATTCCTAAAATGTTATAGCATTCTGACAGCATTCTGTTACATTAGTCATCAAAATACATAAAAAACACTATTTTATTTTACATATAAAGTTCAGCAGCGTTTCCAAAACGCGTGATACATCCACAGCCCACTTGCCCACATTCCACTGCTACATCCTCTCTGCATGCCCAGCATCAAGTTTTAGGGAGCCAGTGCCTTACCCGTGCTTCCTACAACATGAACAAACTTAATGAGCTTTCGCTCAACAAGTATCAATAGGTCATAACAGATGCAATAATTATGCATACCCATATATGCATTCATGTTATATAGCCTAATACAGAATTCTAAACGACTTTCACTCTGTGTTTCTCATTCTTTTCATTCTTGTTTACAGATACCATACCGTTATATGGAATGGTTTCCGTGTTTTATTTTCTTGTCTTTTACTTCTTAGGGGCCCTGTCTTGTTGTACCATAGTGCGCATAACCAATGAGGAGTGAGGTAGCTAACCAATCCAACTCAGTCACAGTTTTATTTCTTTCATAGTCTCATAATAACCTTTCCTTCGAAGGCTGGTACAAACAGGACATTTAGTCTCTTACCGTTTATCAATTTTCTCATTGAAATGGTAACTTTAGTTAAATCTTATGAATTTGTGCACTTTTGAACAATTTAGCATGAGATTAACTTTTTTGTTAAAGTTTAACTCTTTCTCGTAACTTGACATTAACTTATCATCGATACATACTTAGCATTGTATCTACCTAACATTCAAAATTCCACAATATGCACAAATTTTGTGCAACATAGAAAAGTAAGCTTGTTCGTGATATAGCCACAGAAAAATTATTGTACTTATAGAAGTTCGCTGACAATGCGTCCTTTGTCTCCCTTGTTGCTGTCCGACTTCAACCGTTAATCGGCCCTATTGCATAAATTTTTTCGATCGTTAGATTCAAAATCTAAGATCAATAATTACATTGAAATTTATGTCGGAAAGGTCTACAATCCTTATGTTTGGTGCAACCTCAAACTATTCCTATATCAAGGATTTGCACTAAAACCGTGCAAATTACTCAGTCATGGGCATAATTTTCAATTTCGGTCTAAAACTGTGAATTCTCGTTGTGTTCGGTTTCTAACCATCACCGATTATCGAAACATCTTTCTTTTCACACTTTAATCCCATATTCCTCTTGAAATCCAGTTTTAGTTTAAATTACTCAAACTAAATTTCGGCAGAGTTTCGTCTTGTTTTTCTCGTTTCTCGAGTTTTCAATAACTCATTTTAATTCTGATTTCGGTACCTAGAGTCAAGATTCGCATTCTTGAACACAGATTCCAACATAAAATTGAACAAAAACACATGTTCTTTCTTAATCTAGGCTCACGGATTTTCAATGAGAATCCACCAAAACTTCGTTCAATCATTTTGATACTTACATCGTTAGACTCCTTTTACGATGCTCTACAAAACCTCAGTTTCGATTTTTTTCTTTAACGGAAGTTTTTCCGAGATGGGTTACTATTCATCTAAATCATGAAATCATAGAATTCTCATGAAAAATTCAAAATCTTACCTGCAGAAATTGAGGTTTTTCGCTAGAACACCTCGGTTAATGTTTCTACCGGACTGAACGGAAGAAATTTCGGTGAGAATGCTTGATTTCTTCGATTTCTCTTACTCTGTCTCTCTCTAACAACTTTTTTTTTTCGTAACTCTCTCGCGTTTTTTTTTCCTTCTCTGCTATGCCTCCCATTGGCATTAGCTACAAAGTGTTATAATAAAGATATGTGCTAGTAAATGAGTGGGTTCTATACTCCTCAAATTTTTTTCTTGTCGAGACCTAACTTTCCGTTTCTCAAAATGAGTCTCTTTTCAGTACTAATAATTTCACTATTCATAACTGATATTTACGAATTTTCTTTATAAAAATATATGTATTATAACTTTACACTTTTCAGGAGATTTTACCCCGTACATAATGTTTCTACATAACATTTCCTTGATCAGGCTGAAAATTCTACTACTTTCTGTTCCGGATGAACTTATGGTCAAATACCAGATTGTCCGGATTAGACCTGAAATTTTTCCGGTCGTTACAATCTCTGTTTGGAGGATGCTAATATTGATATAATTTGTATATTGTTGACGGTGATTTTTTAACAACTCGTGATTAACTCTCCAAAGACACTCACGATAATCACTCACGGGTTAATTAAAGATTAAAGCAATAAAATAACATAAAGAAGGCAAGGATTTATAGTGGTTCGGCAAAATTTCTTGGCCTAGTCCACTTGTGGATGTACTAATCTTTTTGGGAAAATGCCTTCAAATTGGTATGTATTAGATATGAAGATGAATAGTGCGGCAAATTTAAATGAGAATAAGTGAGAAATATTACTTATTCCTTGTTTTCTGAAAGAAGATTTCTTCTCAAACAACTCCCAACTCTCATTCTCATTGAGTAACCGTGGTTCATGGACCAGGCCGTCCTTATCTGCAGACAAAGCCACCTCTCTGTGACGAGTAGTTAGTATGATTCTGCTCTCTGTCTCTTCTTGTACTGGAAATGCAGCCTCTAGAAGTTTCCACGCATCAACGGTCCAAATATCATCGAGGAGAATCAAACACTTGTTATCTTTCTGAACTTTGCAGAGCTCCTTAGCTACTTCATCATCTCCCATTAATTTGATTTCTTCTCTTTTTTCCTTGGTTGGGCTCGGAGTAAGTTTGATTAAAATTTCTTCCCACACAACGCGTTTTTCACATTGTTGGGATGTTGATTCCCAAGCAAAGCGATCAAAATGACCGTTGACTTGAGGATGATGATAAACCTTTCTAGCCAGGGTGGTTTTTCCGAGACCGCCCATCCCACAAATAGAAATCACACGATGGGGATTAGCTTGTTTCGTCAACGCTGCTGCCAACTTCTCCATATCTTCGTCAAGTCCGATGACATCTTTTTCAGCAACATGAGAATAAGCTCGCCTCAACTGTCTTTGGAGCTGGTAATTCGAAGAACTACTTTCTCCTTTGCTGTCCGGTAATTTCGTGATGCCCATTGCTTGAAAATCTGAGGTCATGGTTGAAAATCTTGTAAAAATTAGGTCGATCTCGGATCCAACTTTATGAAGCTCAATTCCTTCATTCAAAATGCAAGCGAACCTTTTCAATATATTCTTGACGCCTCCTGTCCTTCGAGACTCAACTTTTAGGACAAAAGTTTCGACAACATCTTCTAAAGCAAGAGCAAATTCACTTATTTCTGCAACCCAAAGGCGTACTCTATTGTCCGCATCCATTCCGCGTCTCACAATTGCATCGGCATCTTTTAAGAAGCTGCGCATCCTTCGTAGCTTGGACTGTGCCTCCTCAACTTGGCCTTCGACTCCATACAAGAATTTCGCTTCAGAAATGAGCAAGTCTCCAAGTCTTTCAATCGCAAAGGAAAGGGCGGCGTCAGCCATCACATTGGTTTTAGAAATTAATATTATCATCACATTGGTTTTAGTAATTAAAGTTTGACAGGTTGTCTATTTCACTACTTGCTACTAAATTTTAAAAGAGAAAGACGTTGGAATAATAGAGGATAAATATATTCTACGTTGAATCATTTTTTTATGATTTATATATATGGGAGCTTCTTATGGTGGTTTTTTTTTTTTTTTTTTTTTTTTTTTTTTTTCAAATCAATTTTTTTTTTGGGTTAAAAGAGTTCATTTTGAGGTTAAAGAGATTGATACTTTATATTTTGAAATGTACAGATTTTACTTTCACATCTCAGATTCATGTTAAATAATACTTATCTATTTTTTTAGTCAAAAAATTGATTTTGAATATGAAAAAAAAAAAATCAAATATTACCTTATTTTTAAATTTTATTTTTCCTTGTTTTTAATTTATTTTGGGCATTTAGATTTTTTTTAGTCAAAATTGACATGTTACCGACAAAATGTAAGATATTGAGCATAAATTCGAATGTGAAAGTATAAATATGTTGTTAGTCCAAAATATAAGATATAATTAATTTTGTTTTTTACGACCTCAAGGTATAACAATTGTAAAAAAAAAAAAAAAAACCCCTTTCCATGGTATGGTTTCATTGCCTGTAGTGTACCTTTTAACATTAGTCTGATTAGCTATGCAAAACCAACAAAGGCTTATCCGTAGGGTTTTTATTCGTATAGTAAAACCTACGTTATTATTTGGGGGTTCTCGAAAAATGCTCGACTATACTTTTTGTGTATTTTTCATGTTATTTATTTATAAAAAAGTAGTGTATTATTACACCTCCATAGAAGTTGAAGGCTAACTCTACCACTGGTAACTCGGAATCACAAAATCATATATCAAACGACAACAACATGGAATGAGAATTGGATGCTAAAGTGTTGTTTTGTATCAGTGCTAGCTGAGGACCCAGATTGAGAGATTTTGGAGAAGCAGAAGCTGGAATAGAGCCACGCTAGTCACAGGTTTGATACTTGAGAGGTAGGATTTCTATCCCTTTTCCTGTGTGAGCCTGATCTTTCAAAAGAGTTTTGGCCTTACAAATGTTTTAAAGAAAGGGGCTTGTTTGCGAAATTAAAATTCATGGCTTGTTGTAGTTCATGGAATCTATGGCTTGTTGTAGTACATGAAACCCATGGCTCGTTGTAGTTCATGGGGCCCATGGCTTGTGTAGTTCGTGGGATTATAATAACGATTTAAGAAAGTTTAATGAATGATTTCTTAAGGAAAGAGATCTTGCGAACCGGTAAACTGGTTGATGGCCTAGATAGGATGTGGAGAGTGCATCCATGGGGGCAGAACCTGAAACCCGGCCCGAGGTTGATAAGGCTTGTGCACGTGGTTGTGTAAGTAATTTGTATAAATTACTTGCTGATGCCTATAATACGGATATTTTTAGATATATTTCCTTTGAGAAAAAGGATGTGAGGTTCCGGCTATTGTGTTGGAATTGAATGTCTCATTTATTTACTTATTCATTTATTAATTTACTGCTTACTTATTTATTTATAAAGTTAATTTCAAATTATATCCTACTGGGCCTTTAGCTCACGTTTTACTATTTTTATAAATATTAAATCCTTCCCAGGTGACTCTAGGAGCGGTGCGGAGTAGTTGGATCATTGCTACCGTTTGATCAAGTGAGGATTGTGTTTATGCTCTTAGATTTACGTAAGAATTGTAAATTCTGTAAACTTTGAATTTTGGATTTCAAGACTGTGGTTGATGTTTGTAATGTTATTTACATGTACATGTATGTACAATATTGTATGTACTGTAGGTGGAGCCCTATGTATTGTCAGAGGCTCAAGGAGTTAGAACCTCTACCTTGTACTTTATTTTCAGTTAAATGTGGGGCTCGTTTGGGAATTTCCTTTATTATTGTGCGCGTAACCCCTAATCGAGCTCCACGTCACCGACCCTTTTGTGGAGGACGTGACAGAGTGGTATCAGAGCCTTAGGTTAAGAAACCATAGGATTGTACATACATGTGTGACAGACAAGCATTAGCAAGTAATTTATACTATGATAAATTACTTACACAACCACGTGCACAAGGCTTATCATCCCCAGGCCGGGTTTCAGATTCTGCCCCCAAGGATGCACTCTCTTCAGCCAGTTTACCAATTTGCAAGATCTCTTATCTTAAGAAATCATTCATTAAACTTTATGAAATAGTTCATTTAATCCCATGAACTACAACAAGCCATGATTTTTGAAATGCTTTTCCTTCACAAACATACCCTTTCTTTAAAACATTTGCAAGGCCAAAAATATTTTAAAAAACAGGCTCACAAAGGAAAGGGTAAAGAATCCTATCTCGCAAATATCAAACTTGTGACTAGCGTTGCTCTATTTCGGCTTTTGCTTCCTCAAAGCCTCTCAATCTGAGTCCTCAGCTAGTACTGATACAAAACAAGACTTTAGGATCCAATTCTCATTCCTAAAGTAATTTCAATCTCAATTATATCCTTTTGATTTCCTATTAGTGTGCCTTGACTCAAATTCAAGTTTCACAAATGATTTTTATAATCAGTTTCGGGGTTCTTTAAAGATCAAAATCAAATTCATGGAATTGGTTTCCTATTTAATTTCAGTTTAAAAACAACTTTTTAAAGAAATTTCGGCAGCATGCCGACATAAATGGGAAAAATGCCAAACCTGCAATTCAAGTTCAATTTTATAATAAATTCTCCAGAATCCATCAAAATCAATTGCCAGTCAACTAAACAAGTCCAATAACTGAAAACTCCCAAATTTCAATCAATTCCAACAACAATTGTTCAAATCTAAACTCTAACTCAAAATTATTCAAATCTAACCAAAATTAAACTTTCTCACGTTTAAAAATTCAAATCAAGAGTGGGTTTCAAGGGGTTTTACCTCAAATTAGTTGATGGAGCCGTACTCCCTCCGTTTCTCTCGTTTTCTCTGTTTTTTGTGTGTCGGCAGCAAGCCGAGAGAGAGAGAGAGAGAGAGAGAGAAACCCAGAGAGAGAGCAAGGGAGAGAGAGACAGCCGACGGGAGAGAGAGATCCCGGAGGAAGTGGCCGGCATGGAAGAAAAATGGAGAGAAAGAGAGAGAGAGATGGTTGGCGTGAGAGAAACTAGAAGAGAGAGAGAGAGAAAAGAAAAAGAAAGAAAGAAAGAAAGAAAGAAAGAAAGAGAGAGAGAGAGAGAGAGGGCTGAGCTGGCAGCCACGGGAAGGAAGGGAAGAAAAGGGAAAAAAAGAAAAGAAGAAAAAAGAAAAAGGAAAAAGAAAAGAAAAGAAAAAGAGGTGGCCAAATATTTAAGAATAACAATTCAAAGAATGTGTCGACACACACTTCTAGGGTAAAAATATAATTACTGTAAATATTTAAATTCCTTAGAAATATTTAAATTTACATGTCAGAAACATTTAATAATCAATAATTAATCAATTAATCCAGATTAGGTAAACTAATAAATCTCAATTACCTTAATTAATCTCATTTAATTCTTTGAGGTGTTACAAAGTTATAACTCAAACTCAACTCAAAATCATCACTCAAGTCACCCTAACTCAAAAATGTAAAAGAACAACCCCTTAAACTTTTGTGCATTAAGTATTTTGTTATTGTTCTTTTCACAATTCAAGTTCTATTACTATAGTATTTTCTCTCACAAAAATTCAAAATCAAATTTTTTATTACTTTATTTTTCTCTCACATACACAACTCAAATTCTCAACTTAAATTATAATAACAACAACTCAAGTTGTTAGTAAACTGAATACTCATAGATAGAACACGCACGTCTATCTAACTTACAATAATTCATATAAAAGGCAATAATTGGAGCAACATTTTCGACCGATAAAAAGTTTAATTAGCTACAACGTTTTGTACCGTAAGTGGTTACATATCATGACAGAAAATTTATCAAAGGAATTATTGTATGAGATAAAATTTCTTGGAATTCAATGTATTATAAATCTGAATACTTTTATGGTAAGTATTTGTTGATATTAATATTGAATAGCAATTTATAAGCTAAAGATTAGAAGTTTCTGAGGTATGATGCAGTTACCGATTTTCAGATTGCAAAAAGAAAAGAAGTATGGGATGCTGTGTTAAACCCACAAGTGGGCCAACACATGAATATCAACATTAAGAAATGAAAAAGAATTGAAAAATATCAATTCTTTGGTTTCAGAAACAATCAGAATGAAAAACGGATGAAAAAGGAAGGTCGAACCGAGAAAATTAAGGTTTTCGACCGATTGGGGTTGACCAAGTCAAAATTTATTAACCAAGAGTCGATTAATAAGTCACTCTTGAAAGGATAATCAAGGTTGAAAAAAGTTGACCAACTGTCTCGAAATGGATGGTATTAAACTGAAACCAAAGTGAGATATTAAACTGAACCAAAGTGAGATAACTATTAGAAATGGATGGTTGAGATTTAAAGTGATTAATGGAATGGAGGGCTGAGATTGGGACACCTAGAAAGAGAGGATAAGGCCAGACAAGCTTAATGGAGAAGCCAAGTGAGATATTTTGTTGAATTTTACAGAAAAGACCCTAGAAAATATCAAAATTGTACTTTAGTCCCTCCTACTTTATTAGGTCGGTTTTAGGAGGTAAAAATACAGCCAAATGCTCATTTTTCATGCCAAGAAACCAGAGAGCATCAGCCAAAGAGAGGAGAAGAAAACAATTCACCCAAACTGAGAAAAATGAGGTTTAATCGAAATTGACGAAACTACATCGTTAGTTCGCGTCGCTAAGGACTTCTCTTCATTCTTTAAGGTAAATTTTGGTTTCCATTTCACTTTTTCTACCATGGCTGCACGTCTATGGATAGTAGGAAGCATGAGAAAAATTTTGCCTAAGATGATGATATGCTTATGGTTAGTAATGGTACCGAAAAACTCAATGTTTAAAGGTTAAATTTTCGGTTATTGGGTTTTATTTTAGTGTTTTTGCTCATGGAGA